TAAAAAGTTTTTTTTAAAAGTATTAAAATAATAATATATATTTTAGTATTATTTTAAAAGTATATTACTAAGCTTAAAGTAATTAATAAAGCTATTATATAATAAAAATTATATAAAAAAAGTAAATATAAAAAAAAAATTATTAAAAATAATATTTAAATATTAGTTTTAAAAGAATTTAAAGCTTATAATAATAATAAAACAATAATAAAAAAATTCTATATTAAAGTAAATAAATTATTATAAAAATATTATAAATATTATAATAAAATAAAATATAATTTATGCATATATAAGTAAAATATAATTAATTTTTTTAATTAATTTAATTTATTATAATGTATTACACAGGCAAGTTAGTTACCTAGTTAAGTTAATTATAATACTAAAATTTTACTAAAATTAGTACTATGCACAATAGTATAGTACTATAAAAAACTATAGTAGTAAATTATAATAAATTAATTTATTTAAAAACTATTTTTACTTTTTATTTATATATTTGCGCGTTATACTTAGCTTTACTATAATATTTATAACATTTTTAAAAAGGCTTACTTACTTTAGTATATACTTATTTTTTTTATTTTTTTTTTATTACTACGCGCTTTAAACTTTTTTAAAATTATTAATTAAAAACTATTTTTTATTATAAAAGTTTTTTTTTTTTATACTTGCTTTTTTTTATATAATTTTTATTATATAGTAGCTTTATTAGCTGCTTAAAGCTTAGTAATTTTTTTTTATACTAATATAAGCTTGTGCGCAACTATAACTGCACTTTTTAAAATTTTTTTATAAGCTTTAACTATTAAAATAAAAAAATTATTTAAGTACTTTTAAATTTTTATTTTAACTAATATTAATTAAAATTTAAATTTTAAAGTATTGCTTAGTATTTTTAACTTTTAAAAACTATTTTTAATAGTAAGTAATAATAAAGTATATAACTAAATATTAAACTTTAATATTATAGCTTTAAAATTAAAAAAAACTAAACTAGCGCTTTTAAAGCTACTTAAAATATTATTTTTTATAATAATAATATTAAAAGCTAGTTTAAAGCACAGTAAAAACTTAATTTTAGTAATATAATTAATGCTATTATATATTAGCTTTTTAGCTTAGCACTTATACGCCTTTTTTAAAAGTATAAAATAATTTATATTAAATAATTATAATAAGTATAATAAATGCAAAAGTATATAAAAAATAATAATTTTTTATTTTTTATAGTATTACTAGAATTAAATTAATGCGTAGCTTTTATAACTATTAATAATAAATAAATAATAAATACTAATAATTTTTTTTTTAGTATACTTATTAAAGTGCTTTAATTATTTAAAAGTAAGTTTATTTATTATTTAGCTATTTTTAGAAACTGCAATAATTTAATTATAAAGCAGGCTATTTTTTTTATACTAGGCTAAAAAGTAGTTTTTGCCTATAAAAATAATAAAAAATAAAATAATTTACTTTATTGCATTAATACTTTAAATTACTATTATTTATTTTTAATTATTCTACTGCACTATTTTTAGCTGTCTTTAATAGTTAGTACTTAAAATAATAATTTTATATAATATTTAGCCTA